AAGAAGTGATGCAGCAGAGAGGGTCTTAATTAACCTTGAGACTCAAAGAATGGATTATCAGACTCTGGACATTCTACAAAGATTTAATTAAAATGGTCTACTTATGTGACCTGAGTCCTGTAGCATGAAACACCTGATAGTATGGATATTAGAATTTTTCCTAGAATCACATTTTCATATGTAGGACATAAAACGTCATGAGTATAAATTAGACATTTGAGCATTTTAGAGCTATTTTTATTTCAGTCTTCCAGAATGGAAACTTGCTTGATGGTTACTGACAGAAGAAAAATAAACTAGCGCACAGTCTACAGTGGAAGTCACGATGGTATCGTTGTTGGTATTCATCTGGAAGAAGAGGCTGAGAATTAGGAACTTGTACAGTGTCGTTAGATACAGTGGGCACAGCACTGTTCTGTGGGCCTTGTCTTTGAGTTGAGGGCTGGACAGCTGGACTTATAGCAGGACTTGTCTGCTTTGGGAAAGCATTTTTTAAAAAGTCCTTCATGAAACCTTTTATTCGCTCTTAATAATCATTTAAAGACTACTCTTGAAATTTCTGCCTGGAATCTTCAATTTTTCTACTTTGTAGCACTGCTTAAAATGCAGACTTCTAAGGTCTGTGGATTCTTGTGTCACAGATACTTAGGGACTGGTGAGAATAATGGGTCAGCCTAGTTCAGTACTTGAGCTGAGACTACTGTGTGGGTTTTACTATGTTACAGACATGCTACCCGTGCCTCTGTGTTACAAATAAGGTAAAATGATTGTAGTTAGGACTAATTAAAATAATAAATTCCTCATTATATTCACGATGCCATTCATTTGGTCAGTTAAGATGTTTTTGAGTGGGAGCTGGGGGATTTAGCTCAGCGGCACAGCGCCTGCCTGGCAAGCGCAAGGTCGTGAGTTAGATTCCTGGTACCAGAAAAAAAAAAACCCAAAAACAAACAAACAAAAAGATGTTTTTGAGTGTCTACTGTGACTGTGTACCATACTAGTTGCTGGGGACGTAGAAATGAACAATTTATTTGTGGTCCTCGAGCTGCGTAGGATCTAGGGGAGATGAAACTGTAAATAAGATAATCTGTGCGTATGTGTGTGAGAGACGGAGGGAGAGAGTTGTTAGTATAGACAAAGGTCTGCATCAGAGGAACCCAAAAGGGACACTCACAACTGTACCAAGGGAAAGATGTGAGGCAGCAATGATTTGGAGATGACTCCTCAACAGTGACATCATTTACAAAGAGTGTGGCTTATGAAAGTGCAATAGAAATACAAATTCAGAAGGATGGTGAGAGATTAGGCTCTGAGTTTAGGTATTACATCCTAAAAGACCATGATAAATCCTGAATAACATAAACAGGAAAGTAGTATGATCAGCTTGGCACTTCATTTTGTGTTTTTAGTAAGTGGTTCCTTCACATGGTTCTAAAATTTAAATAATAATATAAAAAAGTGTGTGTGGTGAGAAAATTTTCACTCAATCACCTTGCTCTCAGACAACCACTGCGTACATTTTTTTTTGGTATATTTTCCCAGGACTATGTTCTCCATGTATAAGTAAATACAGAAATATGTGATTTTAGTCTCTCATAGTCTACTTTGACACAGTTGATAGCATAGCATACGTATTGTTCCTCACTTTGCTTTTTGTTAGTTTATCTTGGTGAAGTCTCTCCATATCAATATATTTGATGACTTTTTTTTTTTTTTTTTGGTTGAACTCAGGACCTTGCACTTGCCAGGCAGATGCTTGTACCACTGAGCTATATTTCTGGCCTTCATATCAATATATTTGAAAGCTTTGTCTCTCTTTCTTCTTTTTTTCCCCTATGGCTGCTTAATTTTCCATTTCCCATAGTTTGTTTAATCATTATCAATGAACATTTGTGTTGTGTCCAACTTTTTTCTTTTACGCAGCTGTGGTAAACACTGTTGTATATAGAATACTGACATTTTTCTGAAAACCTCAGTATTTGCTGAATGAATGATTAGAGGAAAGGTAGATGGCTTAGGGGAAAGGAGAGATGTGAAAGAAAGAAAAGATACGAAGAAAGAAAAATTATGAAATCAATACCTATTGATTCTATTTTCCTTTCCTACTCTCTTTGCTCATGATTGCTTCAATTCTGCACATGTATATTCCAGAGATAATTATGCTGTGTTCATCTAAGCTATGTGGGTAATAAATGTAGTATTCATCCCATGTACTTGTGTTATTCCAGAAATTACGGTCTATTACTCAGTCCCCAAATTCCAGTATTACACAGCTCATCCAGTGTACTGTTCCCCTCTGATCTCTCCCTCTCTTCTATTCCCAGTAGCCTTATAGTTTTTCTGTCTAATTTCAAAGAGAGTAGGAAAGGAAAATAGAATCAATAGGTACTGATTTCATAATTTTTCTTTCTTCACATCTTGCTTTTCTAGCGTCTGCTCTTATTGCTAATCCATATTCTCTTTTTATGTCAGCTAATTCTCTGACTTTTTTTTTCTCTTTGATTTTAACTTCTTTATAGATCAGTGATTTGATGATTCCTAAACTGAGAAGTCTGTGAATTGACTTTTCACTCCACTGATTTTATTTTATTTATTTTTTTACACTCCCCTGATTTTAAGGTTAAACATTGTATCTGTAAAGTGTAAGTTTTTGACAGATGGTATACCAAGAGCTCCCCCCATATATAATTGCACATATCCTACAATTCACTTTTTTAAGGTGTACAATTCAGTGGTTTTAAAAAATGTGACCACCACCATTATTACTATCTAAATCTGCAGCATTTCATAATTCCAAAAGAAACTCCATATCTGATAGCCTCCTTCCTGGTCCTGCCCACCACTAAATCTAATTTTTTTTGGTTTTTCTCCGGTACCAGGAGCCGAACTCACGACCTTGTGCTTGCCAGGCAGGCGCTTTGCCGCTGAGCTAAATCCCCAGCCCCTTAAATCTACTTTTTGTCTCTTTGGATTTTCCTATTCTGTATATTTCATCTGAAGGGATTCATACAGTATGTGGCCTTTTATTTTACCTACAATAGCTAGAATACTTTTACCTAGAATACTATTTTCAAGGTGCATCCATATTTAATAAATCAGTACTTCATTCTTTTTGTCATTGAACGTTAGTTCATTTTATGGTTACACCACATTTTGTTACATAATCACCAGTTGATGGACATTTGAGTTGTTTCCACTTTTTGTAAATAGTGCTTTTGTGAATGTTTTTGTGTGCAAAAGTTTGTGTGGACATATGTTTTTGTCTCTCCTGGACAGGAATCTCAGAGTGAGATGGGTGATATGGTTACTTATTCTTTGTTCAGTTTTTGAGGAATTGTCAGACTGTTCCCCAAGTCATTGCACTATTTTAGATCTGTGCCAGCAGAATATGAGGGATCTGATTTCTGTACATCCTTGTCAACACTGGTTATTGTTTTTTTGTTATAGGCCTACTAATGGATGTGAAGTGGAATCTCATGGGGGATCTAAATTACATTTCTGTAATGACTGATGATATTGAGTATGGACTTGCATTTTTTAGCTGAAAAATGTTGTAGCATCCTCAGGCCCTGGGAGTACAGCTGTGAACATGTAAACAAGACAGTTTAAGTCTCTATCTTCTTGAATTTTGGAGTTCATGTGGGAAGAAACATAGGAACAAAGTATTTGCAATTTGTATTTTAATAAGGATTATGTAAGATATAATCCCTTAGTATACTTTTTAGATTTTTCTATTTCAGTGATTTAAGACTTTTCCATTATCTTTAATGACTAGAATTCATACAGTGGGTGTTTGTAGATATTATATATGACATTTTTACATTCGCTTTTTAAAATAATTCAAAAGAAATGAGAGTGTATCTATTAGTCAGCTTTTCATCACTGACCAAATACCTGACAAAAACTATAGGGGGCCAACCTGTGACCTTGTACCTGACCAAGGGGCCACAAAGATGAAACAAAGAGACACAGAATAGGTTAAAATGTGAGGAGTGGGGGCTTTTATCTCCCTTTGACAAAGAGCCCCAAGTGACTGGCACACTTTGGCTTTATTCACTCAGACATGGGCACAAGCAATCGTAGTAAAACAGGGTTCATCTGTCTCCCATCATCCGTGGTACACATCCAAGTAAACAACAGGATCTCAGCTGTATTAGTTTTCCCTGCAGCCTGTCACCAAGCACTCATGCCACCTGTCTCTCTAGTGCTCCCAGAAGAGACCAGTTAGGCCTTAACCTTCCTATCTGGTCTCCCACAAAAAACTTCCAGGAAGAGATTTATTTTGGTTCATGACTGCAGAGGTTTCAGTTCATGGCTGGCTGACTCCATTGTGGGCCTGAGGTGAGGCAGAACATCGTGGCGAAAGGATGTGGTGGAGCAAAGCTATTCGCCTTGTGGCATTCATGAAACAGAGGAGCAGCCAGAGAGGAAGGAGCTAAGGACCAGACATAGTCTCCAGAGTCACACCCACACGATCCACTCCTTTCAGTTAAGACGCATCTCTTTTTTCTATCGCCTGCCAGGAATGCCATCAAATTATATGGATCAATCCATTTGATGAAGTTAGAGCTCTTATAATTCAGTTATTTCCCCAGAAACCATCAGCTAGCATTTGAGTTTTGGTAGGACACTTTAAATCATAGCACTATCAAAGAAAAAAAGTAAACATATAAAGAAATAAATGGAATATTGTCCTTGCTTCTGTAGTTTAACCATTAGCAGCTTTGCAGTTTATTATTCCAGGCCCGTCCCATTGCATGTACAGATTTCTAACATGTAGAGTTTTGACTAAAGAGATTACTTTGCTAAAGAATTTTCATTCATATGACTCCTGATTCACCTTCACCAAGATGTAGAGTGATTTTGGTGAGCTTACAGTGGTGTCTGTAGTGGGGGTTTGCTACACACTGGGTGCTCTCTTTGTACCAGGAACTTCATACTGTACCCAGGCACACCTGGGCTGTGATGCGTGACTTCCTGTTTTTCCCCTTTCCCTGCAGATGGTCCTCATCCCTGCAGGAGTGTTTACAATGGGCACAGATGATCCTCAGATAAAGCAGGATGGGGAAGCACCCGCAAGGAGAGTCGCTATTGATGCCTTTTACATGGATGCCTATGAAGTCAGTAATGCTGAATTTGAGAAGTTTGTGAACTCAACTGGCTATTTGACAGAGGTAATGGGTTTGGGATAGGAGGGAGAACTTGTTCTTTTCTAGAACCTTTAAGAATGCTTTAGTAGGGGCTGGGGATTTAGCTCAGCGGCAAAAGCGCCTGCCTGGCAAGCGCAAGGTCGTGAGTTCGGTTCCCGGTACCGGAGAAAAACCAAAAAAAAAAAAAAAGAAGAATGCTTTAGTAACAGTGGACATTGATGGCCACTTTTATTACGTGCTCAGTACTGTGCTAAGCACTCTATGTATGTATTTTGTTTAATTTTTCCCAGTACTCCCATGAACTTGGTTACAGTATAGGTAGCAAACTAAGGATTAGAAGAGTGATTTGTCCCAAGGTGCATGGTTGGTGTGGAGTTGAGATTCAAGCCTGGTCAGTGTGATCCCAGAACCTGTGTTCTTAGCCATACGTTATATTGTGTCAACGCTTTGATATGCCAGAGACAGCCACTATCTCAGGTTTTTTGAAATAACAGCATGTGAAGTAAAGCCACTCTTCCTTCTCAGTAAATTGCATTTTGGTTGTCCCAGAAGCAGTCCATGTTTCGTAAGTGATAGATACAGAAATGCAGCTTTTCATTCTTACGGCTTTATTCCAGTGTCTTGACAGCTCAGACTCCTCTGTCTCAGTTCAGGCCTAATCCTGTGGCCACTCAATAGAAAGGAAGGCCCTGCAAGTGGATGTTGCCCCAAGTGGGACTAAGATTGGGGAAGCTTTCTAGTTTATGAGTGCTTCTGTGAGGGTCTGAAATACACTTTTTAAAAAAGGGTCCCCTTCTCACTCATTGAAAAATTTGTCTTCAGTTTATGGTTGGTTTCTGTCTGTCTTTCTCTCTTTCTGCCCCTCCGTCCCTCTCGCCCTCTTTTTTTTCCCACCAGACATCCTTTTAAACTTAAAGTAGTTAATTTGAGAGTGAATGCCAAAAGCAGAACAACATTCATATTTGGTTTTGCACTGCCGTGTTTCTTTGGAATTTCCTAAAAATATACAAAATAGTTGTAAATCTTGTTTTTATAGATATTTGTAGCAAGCAGAAGGCTGTGTTCATTTTGGTTCATTAAGGATATTCTCGGATCAAGTTCCTCAGTACTGTCTTCTAAGTTAGAAGAGCGGATCTAAAGGGAAAAAGGTTTTCCTTAGACCAGAGTTCTCCAGGAAGATTACCCGAAAAAGCAGAATTTAGGGCATCCAAGAACATGGAAGTAGAGAAATTATATCTGGACATTGACTCTTCTTTACCAGAAATTTAGCATTTGCTTCAGATATGTTGGACAGCAAACCATAGTAATTGCAGCACTAGGATTCTTGATTGATACCATAGACAGTACAGACTTTTTAAAAATCATGTTATTATTGTTGTATCTATTTTGAAATATTATTTGCATTCATTCCTGCTTTAACATATGGTAATTATGAAACCTGGCACTGGATCTTATTTAATATATTAATAAAGAACATATTACCACAGGACAAATTTTTTATTAGTATAGTGATATAAATAGTTGCCTTATTAATCCTGTTGGTTTTATTTTATGCATTTAAATGTCCCATTCTCAGAAGGAGATCCCTAAGCTTCACCATGCTGCCAAAGAGATATAGGACACAAAAAAGTTTCAGAACTTCTGCCTTAGACAGAGTGCTTTGAACTTTCATGACACTTTCCAGGTTTTGCCCCATCTTTCCAACTTCATTTTACATCAGTGTGCCCTGGCTCATGTGTTCTAGCCTCACTGGTCTTGTTTCGATTTCTTAAACACTAGACAGTCTTCTCCACATTGTGAGCTTGGCCAGTACTTTTCCTCTGCGTGGAACCATAGCCCCTCACTGTCCATTTTTTTTGCACATCTCCCTTTTTTTATTCTTGAGTCATCTCAGCACACACATTCCTTTCCCAAGGAGTCTTCCTCTGCTCACTCTGCCAGGAGATTTTCCTTGACACTTTGACCTTACAAGGTGAAATGAAGTTATAATTGTTTTTTCCTTTCTTTAATTGGCTTGATCTTTGTGTGTGTCCTCACATTTACGTACACTAAATAAAGTCAGGGACAGTGCCTCTGGTATTGACCTTGTATCCTTTCAGTTAGCTTCAGACCTGTCATGTGGTAGATGTTCCATACATGTTCACTGAATGAAGAAGTGGCTTAGATTCTTAGGCATTGTAATGTCACCAGGAAATACACAGAGAACATCAGGGTGAAGAAATGATGGTAAGCTGCACTCAGGAAAAGAAACTTGAAGCGCTTGTAAGGCCTGAAATATAGGGATCCAGTACTCAGTTAATTTCATCTGTCAGGACTGGACAGGACTGGAGGTTGAGATTTAAGGTTTATTGGATGTGCTGGCTGTAGTTAAAGTGATGATCTTGAAAGACATTTCCCAGCAGTTGATCAGTATATTTCTCCTGAACCACCTCTGTTAGAACCAGCAGATTTAACACAGGCAGGTTTTTGGTTTTGGTTTTGGTTATTTTCCTCATCACGTGTCCCCAGAATCAGAATCTCTGGGGCTGGGGAATAGTAGTCGGTAGTTTTAAGAAGGTGGTTGGATAATTTCACCTATCCAAAGTCAGAGAGCTGCTAGCTTAGTATAAAAAGCACAGAGAGCCCAGGGCAGAGTTTCAGAAGCAGGAAGAGCCTCCATATTTCCAAACAATAAGAGCAGTCAGAAATGTAGGAAGAAAACTAGAGGAGAGTCACAAATGCCAAGGGACAAAGAGCCCCCTTTTCAGAACAGGGTCACATATGACAAAGAGAATCAGGATGAAGACTTGACGTGCTGATGTTAAATACTGTTACTAAATGCAGATTTGCACTGTTGCTGAATTTGGCCACTTGAGTTGTTTTTTTTTTTTTTTGCTTTTTTTCCCAGTACTGGAAATCGAACTCACGACCTTGAGCTTGCCAGACAGGCGCTGTGCCACTGAGCTAAATCCCCAGCCCCGACTTGAGATTTATAAACACATTTGATACCTTAGTAGAGCTACAGTGTGTCAGAATGTTAGTGCTGAAAGTTAAAATTTAACTTTTTAAACTACATGCTAGGAGCAGAATACAGGACAAACTTGGATTGTGTAATTGCATATATACACAATACTGTTATTTCCCAAAGTCATTTATAGTACTTGGGGAAGTATAATTTCCTTCAACAGGGGTGGCTAAGGTCTCAAAAGTTAATCTGTCCTAATTTACAGTCTTATCAGCTAGACAAGCCTTCAGTGAAAATACTCTCTGTGAGTGACATTAACCTGTTTTAACAGGAAGCCAGACACTTTCAAGTCATTTCTGAGTCCACTTGGGTAGTTGTAGGAGAAACTAACACTCATTTGGGCAAGAAAAATCATTTTAGTAATGTGCAAGGAAAATGTCACATATAAAACACATTGCTCCAACTGTTTGTGGATTTATTTCCTGCCTTCCTTATAGGCTGAGAAGTTTGGCGACTCCTTTGTCTTTGAAGGCATGTTGAGTGAACAAGTGAAGACTGATATCCAGCAGGCAGTAAGTAATGTTTAAACAGGCTCTTGTGTTTCTCTGTGCTCATTGGAAAGCGTTCGGGTGAGAAATCTGAACTACAAATGCTCCCTTTCTCTCCCTCCTACCCTGATTATTTAACTGCCATAGATTTGCCCAAGGCAACAGGTCAGGGCACCTTACCTGAATGAACATGGCACAGTCCCAGGATGGTGTCTGAGGAAGCACTGGGTCAGCCTTGAAGTTTTTTGTCTTGTGTATCCAAGTAACACATCTTGTTGTAAAGTAGCGCTCCGCTGGGTCTAGGCCCTTCTGGGTTTCTTTTACTTAGAGACATTTCTGAAATGAGATTTTTGTGTTGTTTTGTTTTTTGGTGTTGTAGCTTTTGGGACAAGGTCCCACTGTGTAACCCTGGCTGGCTTGGACCTCACCCTCTTCCTCCCTCAGCCTCCTGAGTGCTGGGATTACAGGTGTGCACCTTCGCACCTAGCTTTGGAGTGAAAGAATAAGCATAAATGTTTTAGAATTTGATTTTCCAAACACTGGTCTCATCGAAGCTGGTGTAGAGATAGGACTTCCTATTTAAACATTCATGAATACCCAAGATCAGAGAAGTGTCTGAATGGGGTCCTCTGTTGTAATTGTTCCTGAGGAGCTGAGGCAGGCAGTTGGTGCTTACAGGCAGAGGTGTACCTTCTCTCATAGAGAGGCTCCAGGGATGTGAATTAGGTGCATTTTCTTCAGACATCGTGGAAATGGTGGACTGGGCTTCCACAAACACCTGTGTGGGGAGTAGAACTTAGAAATCCTGTACCAGCTGTTTGAGCAGATTTGTGCTATTCATGTGTGTGTTTGTATACGTAGTTTATGAAAGTGTAAGAACAAGCGGAAGAGTGGAGGTGAGCAGGCAAGTTGAGGGTTCACAAACCAAAGAAGGCAGAAAATGCAGATAGAGGGCAGAGAACAGGGGTCAGCCAACTCACGGGAGACTGATTAAGACACATGCGCTGAAGATGATGGAACCCAACCCTAATCTTCCTTTTTATACAAGTAGCCTTTCAGTTCTGGGCATGAACTTTATCTTAATGTGTTGGTGTCACTTTGCCCTCCCTTGGGAGAGGTGGTGCCAGAAAAACTGAAGTATCCTGGCTCACATTTTCTTTCTTTTCAAAAACATGGGGGGAAGGATGAAATAAAACAAGACTTAATCCTAAATCATGTTTTGGTGAGTTGGACCTTTTTTAGATAAATTTTTGAAAATGTGATTGAGACCCATTTGAATTTTACAGTTTTCCTTAGTCATTGCCAAGTTTTTAAGTTTTGTGTAATCTGATAACCCCACCCCTTTCTTAAAAGGGCTCTGAGGGCTGTTCAGGCTAGTGTTGATGTAAGTCAGGATGTGGTGCCTTGTTTTAAGATAGGGAGTTCGGATGAGGAAGAGCATTTGCACTTATTTCTGTAATTTGTGCTTTCAGATACAGGGTGTCTTGTTACTTGAGAACCTTCAAGCACACTGGTCATGAAGGCAGAGGGGGAGATCGCAAGGCTCCAGCGGTGCCCTGCTAAGTACACAGAAGTGTGTGTGCTTGTAACTAGGAGGAGGACAAGCAGCTCTCACGCGGTTGCAGCGCTGGTCACTTCCTTAAATGCTCATTATGGAAGAGCAAACCTTTTAAGCTTGTTTAGAGAGGGTTGAATAAATAAAATAGATTTATTGATGATGTAGGAGAGCTTTTATTTACCTTTTTTCATCCTCCTTCTTACACCTGACTTAACTTCAGGTACCAGACCTTTTATTAACCCGTTGTTTCTAGAAATGTAGGATGTGATTGGTCCATGAGATAAGTTTAAGAATATTTTAGATCTGAGAAAACTTTTCCTTTTAGGAAAAAAATGTCTCATTGGAGAGCTCTTATGTCCTTAACACTTCACAACACTTGTTAGTTTCTCTCTTTTTTTGTTGTTGTTGGTCTTTTTTTTAAATATAGAAAACAGGCTGAAGAATCTCCTCAGGCTATAGTAACTGGTTAAAATTAAATATTGTTTATTTTTAAAATTTTTATTTATTTATTTTTTTGTCTTTTTTGACACAAGGTCTTGCTGTGCAGTTCAGGCCAGCCTTGAGCTCACTTTGTAGCCCAGGCTGGTATTGAATTCCCAAGGATCCTCCTGCCTCAGCCTCCCAAGTGCTGGGATTACAGGCATGCGCCACCACACCCAGCAATATTGTTTATTTTCATGTGATTATTTTAAAAGTTGTATTCATGTCAGTTTACATTAGTGATACACATTTTCTCTTTTTTTTTAAAAAAAACTTTTATTATAAAAATACAAATACAGAAAATTTTATATTGTAAATACATGAGTTAGTGAGTTATCCTAAGTTGAATGTGCTTATAAGTATCACCCAGGTCAGGAGTTACAATTCTGCTACCTACTGTAGCAGCCCCATTTTGTGTGCTACATTGTGTTACCCTTCTCTGTCCCTGAAGTAGCCCCTGCGCTGATTTTTAAAGTGGATGTTTCCTTGCATTTCTTTATAATATTAGCATCCAGTGTACATCCCAAGTTTAATGCTGCCCACTTAAAGGTATTTGTATGTTCTTCTTTGTTTTTTTAGGTAGAATTTATGAAGAGTACTGCTAAGACTCTTCTGATTTACAGGTTTCCCTTTGCCGTTTCCTTGTCTCTTTCCCACTAACTTGTTCACTGACGAATACAGGACATTTAGCCTGTAGGCTTCCCACTGTCTAAATTTTACTGACTGCCCTTTCACAGTGCAGTTCACCTATGTTTTCTGTTTTGTGTGTTACCTGCAATTTGGTAGCTGCATCCATAGCTGATCAGACTCACGTTTGCAGTCCATGGCAAGACATCATAATAGTGTCTTCCTTCGGCAGGAGGCACCTAACCTCTACTGCTTCTGTTTTGCTGTGTTAGCTGTTGTTAATGCTCGGTGGCTAAATCTGTGAGTTTATTGGGAGTTGTAATGGGGATCATTTAATAGTTATTTTTCATTTATTAATGGATGTACTTTCCCTCCATTTGCTACTTTTTTAGCCATTGGTACAGGTCATACAGAAAAGGTAGTTAAATGCTTGATTCTTTATTAGCTCTTCCTTTCCTTTCCTCTTTTTTTTGCCTTTCTTTTTTTTTTTGGGTCGGGGGAGGGTCTTGCTATATAGTTCAGGCTGGCCTTGAGCTTACTTTGTAACCCAAGCTGGCTTTGAACTGCTAGTGATTCATCTGCTTTAGCTGCTTCTCGAGTGTGAGTGCTGGGATTATAGGCTTGTGCCACCACACCTGGCTTACTAGCTTTTAAAATAATGAATTGGATTCCTATTACTCTTCAAAGGTGCCGAGCTGGGTTGGGTGTGATGATGCATGCCTATAATCCCAGCATTCAGGAGGCTGGCTGAGGCAGGAGGATTGCGCTAAGTTTGAGGCCAGCCTAGGCTACATAGTGAGTTCAAGGCCAACCTGGAAATACAGAGTGAGACCCTGTCTCAACAAAACAAAACAAAACAAAACAAAGCAAAGCAAACAAAGGTGATGAGCTGGGTTTCTTTTTTCTAATTAAGCATTTTAATGTAATATAATTATAGATTCAGTGTAGGAATAAGAAATCATATTGGGTATACCATTCATCCAGTTTCCTCCAGTGGTATCATCTGGTGTACTAGTACAGTTTCAAAACTAGAAACTCACTAGTTGAAACAATCTACTTATTTTTAGGGGTACATCAGTGTTACATGTATTTTTATATATATATATATATATTTAGCTCTGTACAGTTTTTATCACAAATATAGATTTATATAATTACCAGATTGAAAAATCTTTATGAGTTCATACATTTAAAAGTATACTTATTCACTTAGAATAAAACTTTTCCTGTTTGGAGCACTCCTATTTGGAGTTACCTCTTCAAGCTCTTATGAATCCTTTTTACCCTCTCTCCTTTTCAACAGCTTTTTTGAGGATATAATTTACATACTGTAAAATTCACCATTTTAAGTATAAAATTCAGTGCTGTTTTGATATATTTATAGAGTTGTGTAACCATCGTCAAAATCCAATTTTAGATCATTTTCATCGGTATGAAAAGAAAGCTTGTGGAATTTGCAATTGTTCCCCTTTCGCATGCCCAGCCATCGACAACTTACTGAGTCTTCTTTTTCTTTTTTTTTCTTTTCCAAAACAAGGTCTCAATATGTTGTTCAGGTTAGCTTTAAACTCACAACGTAGCCCCAGCTGTCCTGGAACTTGTGGCAGTCCTCCTGCCTCAGCCTCCTGAGTGCTGGGATTATAGGCATGTACCACCACCTCTGGCTTCCTGAGTCCTTTTAAACTGACCCCAACAGTCTTTCATGACTTCTCTGCTTTTTCTGATGACAAGATCTGTCTCCATCCCCTATGCTGGAATGAGCCATTTCTCTGAGGGGTCCTATTTCCAGGACCCTGTCTAGGCTTTAGGTATGCTTACTGCCCTTAGGTTGGTGGTTGTTTCTAGGCCTCTCAACGGATGGAGCTAAGGTACCCCATTAATTTACATAGATACATATTGATACTGTATTTCTATTTTGGGGTTTTTACACAGCCTGTTCTGTATTATATCTTTGTCCTTTCTTCCACAGCAGGAGCCCTGGTTCTCAGGGACATAAGGGATAGAATTAGAATAGCCCATAATTACTCATTTATTTTACCCCAGATTGCATATGTAACAGCCTTAAAATAACAACACCAATGCTACCAGCACCAGTGTAATTACTGAGACTAGGGCTAGAAAACATCTAGACTTTTACATGTACTTTCCTTGTTTCTCCCCAGTTTTAGAATAGCTGTGCTAGTTATGTATTATTGAAGCATGCCTATTGCATGGAGGACTCTGCTTTTTGACTTATGATTAGATTTGGTTCTAGGTGTAGATACAGGTTTAATGCTTTCTGTTTTCAATGTCTCCCTAGTCAGTTGATTGAAGAGCTCATTCTTTCCTAGATTCACTAAGAAGTAGCCATGGGAATAAT